ATTTTTTAGCAAGCCAGATTATGGGGTACATTAAACGATACAGAAAAGCTCTGATTAAAATGTCATGATATTTGATACATATAAATAATTGATGTGATTTTATGAAGCATAATAACATCAACCCTGGTAAACTAGATTAAAAACTAGAGTGTTATTGACATCAGTGAGTTATGTGCATATTCCTCCAAAATTCCATTCCTCTACTTCCATTCCAGAAATAACTGATATATTATTCCCTTTCCTTCTTAATATTGATGTATGTAGCAATCCCTAAATAAAATAAAAAGCTGTTTGTAAAATTTATCATATATAATACAGGTAATTCTGTAATTATACATGTATATATTATGCATTATATAATTTTATAATGTGTAATTTTCTTCAACTTGCTTTTTTTCACTGAACATTATTTCTATGATTTACTTATCATGTTTCAGTAGCTATAGTTAACTCATTTCCACAACTATATAATATTCTACTGTGTGACTATTCTATAATCCATTTATCCAATTTTTTTTGGTCAATACTGTTGTTACCTGATTTTTTCTATTTTAAGCATTGTTGTCAATTATACAATTCTTGTACATATCATCTGGCACTCATATGCAAGTTTCTCTAGGTTTTGTTTCTAGGCATAAAATTCCTGGGTGAAAGGTAAGTTCATGTTTAAATTTATAAAATGATGGATTTTCCAATTAAATATTCCAATTATTTGTCCCCTAGAGCTGAATATATTTTTCATTACTCTGCTTCCTTGCTAGCAATTGATATTATCAGAATTTTAAATTTTTTAATGTAACACAACTAATATTGCATTGTGATCTTAATTTGCACTTCTCTGATTACCAGTGAGGCTGAACCATTAGTATTTTCTCTCATTTGAAATGCCTATTTGGTCATTTATTAGGTTTTTGTTTTGTTTTATTTTTTGGATGGGAAGAGGGTAGTTCTTTTTCATGTTGCTTCATAAGCATAATTATACTTAATTGATATACTAATGCTTTGTTGATTCCATATGCTGTAAATATACTAATGCTTTGTTGATTCCATATGCTGTAAATAGTTTGTGGTTTGTATTCTGTTTTCTTTATGGTGTCTTTTGATAGATGGCAATTTTTTCTTTTAATGTAGTTGAATTTAGCAAATTTTATCTTCATTTAAGGTTGACATTTTCCCTACTTTGAGATTATAAACATTATCTTCTAAATTTTCTTCTGAAAGTTTAAATAGTTTCCCTTTGGAATTAAATATTCAGTCTACCTGGAATTTATAGAATACGTACATATAAGCAAAAATGAATTTTATTGTTTTTTTCGTATAATTACCTTAGCTCCTTTCTCCAGTGATCAGTAATATCATCTTTCTCCTTATCAAGTTCTGTTAAGCGTCAGTCTGTTTCTGAGCTCTCTAATCTTTTGAGTGATCTGTTCCAATGGCCAGTTGGTCTCTCCTTGAATTAATATCACCCTGTATTCACTGGCATACTTTTCTTTATTAAAGCTTGGTATCCAGTAGCACAGATTTTCCCACCTTATTTCTTCTTCAGTTATGCTTTACCCATTGTTGGGCCTTTGCTTTTTCAAGTAAGTTTTAGAATTAATTTGTTTCCTCCAAAACCCTGTAAAATGTTGATTAAATATATAGTGAGACTTAAGGACAACTGACATTTTTATGATATTGAGTAATCTTCCCATCCATGAAGATGGTATATTTCTTTTTATATTTGTTTTAAAAATAGCTTTTAATAAAATTAAGCATCTTTCTTCCTTAGCTTTTGCACATATTTTAAAATATCTTTTTCTTTGTATTTTTATATATATTTAAATTATACTTTATAAATTTGTAGCTGGTACATATTAACACATTAATTTTAAATATTGTTATTCAGGCACCTTGATAAACACTAATTCTAATATTTTGTTGGTAGATTCTTTGGGTTTCTATGTAGATAATATTGTCTGTTAACAGTGCTATTTTAGCTTTTTTCTATATTTGTTTTCACTCCTGTCTTACAAACTAGATGGGCCCACTAGTAGATGTAGCTACAAGCACCAGAAATGTAGGTATTATGAGCAACTGAATTTTTAATTTTAAATAATAATTTATGGCTAATAGATATTGTATTGGACTGTGTAGATCTAGTATTTGTTATTTTTTAACATGTTAGTCATCATTTATTATTTTTATATTATTTCTTTTTAGATCAATGTACACATTTACAAGTTTCTTTGATCAACATTTCTCCTTGTATTTCCTGATCTAGAGTTGTTCCTCCTTTAAGTGCATCATTTAGAATGAACATCGCTAGCAAAGGTCTCTTAGTGGTAAACTCTGGTTTTTGTTTGTTTTTGTAAAGTCTTAATTTTAATAATGATCTTAAAAAAGACTTTTTATAACAACACAATTTAGGTTAATAAATTATGTATCTCAGTATTTTGAAGATACTTCTTTAAGAACATTTGACTTCCATTGAAGCTTCAGTTCAGAAATCTATTAGACTAAATTTTGTCTTACAAGTGTTCCATTTTTCCCTCTGGCTGCCTTTCAGATACTTCCTTTGCTGATGTTCTCGTTTACTATATAGTATGTTTTACATATAGATTTTTCTGTGATTATTATGCTTCTGTCATAATTCTCATAAGGCTCTCATGTTCGTAAGACTCAGCAATTCTCAGCCTCATTTTCAGTCATTCCATTATTGCCCCTCTGTCTTATTTTTTCAAGGACTACAATTAAATGTATGTTTGCCCTTCTTGTGTTTATTCTATCTTCAGTGATTCTTAGCCTTTCTTTTATATTTTCATGCCCTAATCTCTCAAATGAAAATTCTTCAGTTCGTTGTCTCTTGAGCTTTGCCTAATGTTATTTAATTAGTCAGTGAGCTTTTAATTTCAATAACTATTTTTTATTTAGAATACTTCTACTTTTTCCTTTTACAATCTCCTTGGTCATTTTTAATAATCTCTTGTTTCTTACTGATTTTTACTATTCCTTAAAAATTTTTTAGACATTTCAGAATATCATTTTACATTTTTTCCCATATTCTAATGTCTCTAGCTTTGAAAGTTTTGTTGTTTTTTGGATGACTCTCATTCATGCCAGACTCTTTCATTTATTGTTTAGTGGTTTATTTAAAATTGGAAATTTTCTTTTAATTGTAGGCTAGGTTTCTACCCCAGATTTGCATTTGCTTCACTGATGCCACTGGCACGTATATATATCCACAACCACTTGAGCTCCTATGAAGTATCCTGCCTCAACATCCGGCATCCTTACCTTGCAGGACGGCCCAGGTCTCCTGAGCCCAGGCTGCTGTTAGAATTGGGGAACTTTAACTTCTGTTTTTGTTCACTGGCACTGTTCAGGGTTTAGCTCACTGTTCTTTTTATTCTTCCCTCGCCTATCTTTTCTTTATCTTAATATTTAGGGATCTTCAATGTTTTGTCTTTTTCCTGAGCTCAACTCATTATAAAACAAGTATGTTGTAGTTGTGCAGGATCAACTTGCATTGCCATAGGAGGACCATTTGGAACATCTATCATTTTGCTAATTCAAAGCCAGTGCCTAACTTTTATTTGATGGCACATGGGCTTCTTCTAGATTGGAGACTGCATTTATAGAGCTTTGAGCAGTGAGATTAAATTGATTGACTTGATTTTCCCTAGATTCCAGACTTTTTTGAGCTTCATAAAAATCCAATTATGTTATCAGATAATTAAACTGATCATTTTAATAAAATATGGACAGAAAAAAATACTAAATCATATTTGAAAAGCAGATGTAGGTTTCACATTCATGGTCCTCCTTGGAAAAAGTTTCCAAGAAGGCTGTAGATACATTAACTTTTTCTCAAATGTATCTTTCTGATCCATACTGTCTAAAACTACAGAGAAAGGCAAGAGGAAAGAGTACTGAATTTGGGGTCAGAGAAATAACTGTAATCTCAGCATAGACACTAAGCATATGATTTTTCAACAAAGTAATTAATGTCTATGAGCCTGTATTTCCTCATTTATATAATGAAGAAATTTCGATTTCTCACTGTTATTCTAAGAATTAAATCAAACAAAATAGTACACGTGCAATTACCCGTGATAATGTCCAGTAAAAGAGAGCAGAATATGCCACCCTCAAATATTTTTCTTTGGCATAAAAATAGACAGCAGACACAGGAGAAGCTCTGAAAATTATGTAGAAGCACACTCCTTCTAAGGGAAATCTCCATTTATAAGTGTCTCCCCTTCTGTTCTGGGAAGAGAAGATTACTGAATCTCTAGATGATACTCTTACCAATGGAGAAGGCAAGTATACCCCTGTTTATTTTGCTTTGCTTGATAACCTTACATAACTGTCTTATCTCTCCCTTTCCCAACATCTTCTTTTGTCTTTATCTGGAGCTGCTATGTAAGGTGTGGCTTGGGCCATTTTGGGGGAGGTTCTCCCAGGTATACATGTTATTAAACTGCTATGTGTTTTTCTCCTGCCTTTAAGTATAAGGGGTCTCAACCCAGAACCTAGATTAGAGGGAAAATTATTTTTCCTCCCCATCAGTTTGTCGCCCCATGATAGGACCCACTGAGACACCATAGTCACTCCAGAGCCTGCACCTGGGATCCTGAAAGATGAGTAGAAGCTGGTGGCAAAAAGTAAGAATTCTTACCAAAAAGCTCTCTCAAATCTCTCTATGCCCAACTGAGAAGAACAGGTAAAACTTTCTTGTCCTTTCTTTTCCAAATTTAGATTAGCAGGAAAAACATTTGAGTGAACTAGCTTCTTGGCAGCTGCTAAAGATTTTTATTATGAATGCTCTCGTTTTCTATTTCTCTCTTCCCTCCCAGAAATGGTCATTGTTTTGCCTCTGTCTTTTGTGTCCTTTATTATAAGGAGGAGAACTATGGGTAAGAGAAAGATTTCCTTTTGTCTTGAGAGCTTAGCTTTGTGGCCAGTGAGGATATTTCTCTGTCAGCCAAAAATGGCTGAGGGCCCATGACTTGAAATGACAAGCAACATTCTC